TGCTCTCTCCTCTTTTTAGGAAGGCAGTTTGTCACCTCCTGTGCACAGGCATCGCTGTGTGCTGCTGTTCACTCATTGCCAGGGCCACCAAACACTTATCCACATCAGTAGGATAAACCCCAGTTACATCACCAATTCCCTGGTATGCCTGCTCCTGGGGTGCCTGAAGGATCAGGAAATAAATGACTGCTTGTGAAAAAACAAGCCCTAAAATCTGAGGGTGTTTTTTTCTTTTTGGTTTTGTGGGGTTTTTTTGTTTGTTTCTGCATTGCCTGTCTCTGCCCTTCTGCTGCCAGTCAGCTGTACTTCCAGAGTGCTGGCTGTGAAGTGCAGCAGACACTGTTGACTCAGAAGATTGAATGGCACGTCAAGGCTCTGCTCATTCTCGGTACGTGTGGCCCTTCTGTGGACTACCTGTGTGTCTGTGCTGTGCATGAGGCTGGGAGAGGGTGAACCTGGTTTTACTGTTTTATATTAACATGTCCTTTTGTAAACACGTTCCTGTTCTTGGAATTATTTTGTACCAGTTTACATTTGTCTGAGGACTCTGGATATTTTTATACTAGTGCAAGTGCTTCCTGTATATTTCTGCATGCATTATACTGTATTTTACTCATTTTCTAGTGGATGCTGAGATGTTTTGTGTCGTCTCCTGTTAACATAAGGCTGGGCTTATAACTTTATTTTACTATGGAAATCCAAGTAGTTCCTATTGGGTTTTATATTTTTGCCAGCTTTAATAGGCAGCAACAATACTATTTATTTTCTCACTGCTTCACTGTCCCTGAAGTAGCTCAAGGCTCTTACGTGGCTCTGTGCCACATTGGCACAACACAACATGCCTCCTGTTCAGGACAATTTGTTATGGTGACTTTCTCCTTACAGACAGCAGTAGCAAAGTTCATCAATGAACAAGTTCATCAGTTCCTCCCTGCAGGAGAGGAATACATCTCTTTTGGAAAAGAAACAAAGATTTTCTTCCTCCCTGGAAATAGTTTCTGTTGCATGATCTCTAGTGGGTTGGTAAAGAGAGCATGGGGTTGTTATAATGAAATTAATTGTATCTGAATTGCAAGTTTTTCTCAAGTGTTTCTTTCTTCAGGTTTTACTCATCAATTTTATTTTAGCAAGAGCCATGCACCCAGGCTAGAATTTTATGGAGAAAATTAAGACAATTTTCAAGGTCTCTAGTTGCCAGTTCCATATCCCTCAAAGATGAGCAGTTTGGTTTTGGAGCATTGAAGATACAGGAGGCTGTTAATATGATCAGAGCTTCTACCGGATAAGGCTTCAATCCAGCCTTGCCCATAGCTATCCAGTTTTCTCATGAAGAAAATAGTTGTTAGCTGATACAGGAGATAGCCTGTTCTTGTTCTTGGATTGGTTCAGATAACTAACCATGGTCACATTTAATATGCTTACTGCCACCAGAGAGCCAGTAAGGAACCCTATAAGGAACCACATGCTCTCCAGAGCAACAATGGGCTATATTTGCGAAGGAGCAAGCCTGGACAAAAGGCTTGCTTTTTGGGGCTGGCAGTCATGTACCTTTCATCTGTGCTAACATCACATGAAAGCTAGGACAAAAGACATCCCCTGAGACAGAATTGATAGCAATGCTCTGTTCTTGGGTTCCTATATGCAGCTCCCTCTGTGATAGCGAAGGTAGAATTGCTGGAATTGCTGTCACTGAAGTTGAAGGACTGCTGCTCTGATAAACTGTATCTCATGAACAGCTTGGGTTCAGCTTTCTTTCTATATTGACACTGCAGCTTTCTTCAGACTTTCTACCTTTGCGTGATGGATAGAAAGGAGTCTGGAGGAGGTAAGGAATATTAGGTATGGGGATAAGAGGTATCAGGTGGAAAAGCCGTTGGCGAGATCTTTCTCTCTGGTAAAAGAAAAAGATGTTGCTTTTAAATCAGTTTGGACTGCTATAACACTGACTTCAGTGGATTTATTTGGGGGATGCACTCTTAATATCATACCCAGGACTTGTATTTTTCACTGTTTTGAATCTGTTGATATCTGTCCAGCTTTCTTCAAAGTTACTTTCCTATTCCTATACTTGTAACTTGCTTATGTAACATACATGCTATGTGTAAAATTATATTTTCATAGAAACTGATGTTTGCGTTCATCACTTAAAAAGGGCAGTTATTCATTCTAAAGCCTGTTCTCTAGGAAAGCGAAGCTTTATTTGTACATCTAAACCAGACATACCTGACTGGATAAGCCTTGGATTAGTGGACCAAACGGTTATCTCAATAAAATGGGGTTTGCAAACTGAGTCTGTTCGGTGCTTGTGAAGGGGAAGATGGCTTTGAAATGAGAAGGCACAGATAGGGATACAGTGCATAAATCACTTGGAGTGCTTAAGGTTAGCCTCCCATTGGTCCTGGAGAAAGCCTTTTCTGTCACTTTTCCACAACGTTTTAGGTAAGCATGTATTTTCTGAGACTTGAATCACATGCCTTGAAGAGGGCCTGTTGCAATTTTGGATGGGTATTGCACAAAGGTATGATGTACACGTTTGGCTATAGCCCAATTTTCTCACTACTGGACAAGCTCCTGTCACTGACGTGAACAACAAGACTGCACCCTCTGCCAACCAGGCTCCTCTACCCGCTTCTGGTGCTGCGAGGCTGCGGAAGCGCTGGGTCGTGCCGCCGTGCAGCATTACGAGTGGGCAGGAACGCGCGTGACTCCCGAGTGCCCCAAGGAGCCTCCGGCAGCTCTGCCCTCCACGGGGGCACACCGGGCCCGGTATGCGCTGCGGCCTTGGGGCAGACAGTAGGAGCCGCCAGGGACAGCTCCTAGATAGCCTCCCC